TGACGCACTCTTACACTTCGGACACCGACTGGGTTGAACGTTCGTTTAGCTGCCAAATTCCTCCAATGTATTCTTTACTACCTCTGTATGGAATATAATATTCCTCCGGCCAGGCGTCCTACTTCTTCTCTTCCCACATGGAACCGGGCCTGTAGATCGCAGCGACAAGGGTCTTCTCTAAGTAACTTAAGCCACTGCGATGGTCATGCCTGCATCAGCTATGACCTGTTTTTGACAAACCGGGCTACTTTACTGACACTGATAAATTCTTATGCCTTTCAGTTCGGCAAAGATTCAGTCAAGCGTGTCGTTTCGTGGCGTGACCAACCGCAGACCATCTTGGGCTTCCGCTGGTATGCTACGAATATGCAAGTTTTACTAGTGAGGATAGTCTATTAGCTCCGGGAGGTGTGCGTTGGAAGATGTTAACTGCGGAAATTTATTATGAAAACTGCAATTCTTTCCACAGAACAAATTCAGTAGGTACATCAATTACACCCTGAAGGGTAAATTAACCATGCCTTATCCATCGTACTATGTAAAAAATATTAGGAGGATGGCTGTCCGGGTCCGGGAGGGGACTTCGGACAAAGTTTAATACCATCTGCACGCCAAGCCTTTGTAACATCAATTTTCGCATCAGTCCGAAAAGAGGAATCTGCTGATTTCTGTCTTTGTTGATTCATTTTTTGTTCTAGAATGGTATATTCCTGAAAACCAGCAATCATCTTATAGTCATTCTATGACGCCTATAATAACGGAATAGAGTTTATGCTCAATTGAGTACCGAGGGTGACAGCGTATGCACTGAATATTACTCTCCCAGTCTGAAGACACATACGTACCGTACAGATTTGTCAAACGATTAGAACAGCATAACCCCGAATTTGGGAGTTGCAAAATTCGATTGAATTTCGCACGGCCTAGACTTCAATATCGTGGAAAAAAGGACCAAAGACAACACTATCTATTCAAACAAGCAGCCGACGCAAGAAATACAAGGCCACAGAAATTCGGCCAATATGACAGTTTTACTATCTTGAACAGTGGTAACCACCGAATGCCCCACAGCATGGTAGTCATGGCATGGACCGCGAATTCGCGTGAAATGGTCGAAATAGAGTGGTTGAGAGTTAGGATTCCCAGCCGGGTGAGATTACTATGTCTGCATCCGTAGAATGTGTTAAAACAGAAAACGTATCAGCTCTGCAGTGCGCAGACACAAAGCCATCCAACCGCTGCTGTTTTGAAGCGTCATGCTACCAATTATTAATGAAATGACACTACTTACTTTTTTTCAGTAAGAGATGTTTATTGGATTTATTCACCTAGCAAACGTTGCGCACATTCCCTACTGTCAGTTTTCATAACGCTTGGAGATCAGAAATTTGTATACGTGTGCTTAAGGTACCTATCGTATTACGTGCATGTGTGTGTAAACGTATCGCTTAATGTTGCTATTTACGGTTTTTTTATATTTTCTTTGTCGCTTTTTGATGTTTGCTTTTCCACTCATACACTTACGTCTCTTGAAAAAAAAATAGTAAATTCTAAGGCGCACACCAACATTTCCTTCAAATAAAACGACTGGCACGATATCTACCACACTCTCTACCTCTGTTGCCTCACTGACTTGAGCCTGTTGTCAAGATATAACTAAGAACACCGCGGATGTAGTATCAATCGCAGTGACTGATAAAGTTGAGTGGCACTTCTGTGTTTGTGTGTGCATCACAAGCCTAATCAGAGCACAGCACTAAGTAGGACCGCTATAGAAGCCACTGCAGCCCTCGCAGGCTTACCCTCAGTCTTCAGATAATTACTTTATGCCGAATGGCCCAATTGTGAAAAGTTCGCTGCCTCGATTTGGAGTCGAACCCAAACAGCAACTAAGGCTTTTGCGCACCCAACGCTCTTCCATTGAAATACGATGCTCAACGTGAGCCGCGGAGTTAATCAGACTTGGATCGATTCACCCGCCTAACTTTCTGCTCGTATGGAATCCACCAATACGGACGCAGCAGGCCCTTCAGTTGGCAGACATCCAACCCACGGCTTTAAACCAAGTGTGGTAATTTTGAAGCCGCCACCTTATCTATATTGAGCGTCGTGGTGGCACAAGCCCAAAGGGACAGCTCACTCTATCTTATCTTCCAGGTAGCAGTACACTGACCGATCTGGACAATCATCAGGTGAGGAGATTTCACATGCCTGGCTGATGCCTTTGAATATTTTCTGCAGGGGGTGGGAGGGGGGTAGACTTACTCGCCCGCGTCACTGAGTTCCAGGATTTCAAACCACACGAGGAGATCGGACTGATGGAGCAGAATGCCGCTAAAAAGAAAAGGACATTTAAAATCATCGGTATTAATTCCCTTCACTCTCTAGCTTTATAACACTTTTTAATGGAAATTTCTGGGCAAAGGTTATAGTTTGCAGACTGATTTATCCGTGTTATTCACCCTAAACAAACTGAGAGTTTCGGCTGTCACGACAGGATTCGAACTAATGGCAGAAAGAATAGAGCTGCGTGTAAAACATGCGTTTTAGCCAACATACATTTATATAACTTCCATAATCTAGCCGTTTTTTGAAGCTGTGCCATTCAGTGCAATGGAACCCAAGACTTGAAAAAATCGAACGAAACTTGGCAATGAAACTGGAAGTTAAATATACCAAACAAACTTACCAACCACCAACTATCTAACTTTATATATTGCGTACCTGCAAGGATATTTCTTCTGCCTGCAAGTGGTGCTAGGCGATATTAAGCTGCCCATGTGTCTCTCAGATGAGTACTTTATGTGCCTGCATAAGTTAGCATAAAAAGCAGCGTTTACGGCTCCAGTGTCCTCGAATCGCGCAACTCAGCCTGTTGTTATGTTACAAACAGAACGCTAGAGACCTTCAGGACCAGCATCATCCAAGGGCCTTACTTAATTTTAGACAACGTTTGCGGCTGTCTGAACCACATCCGAGGCGAATAAGAACACAGGATGATAAAAAGCTATATCCCATTCAAATCGAAGCAGTCCGTGGCACTGAATTTCACACTCCGCAGGCACTCAGGATGCCTCTGTCTGAATACGTTCCTCTCCCAATAGGGGTC